GCCAAAAGCAGGTATTATCAAGATCCAGATGACTCTAACAACACTACTATTGGTGTAACATTTAGAAGTTCCTTCCCTTTTGTTTCCCTAGTGGGAACAAAACCATCTCTTTTCTTCCAGTGTTGAAAATTAAATGCACAGCAATAGCACGATCAGCAAGATTTTTAACTTCAAAATTGCCTTTCCTGGTGAGAATGAAAACACTACTTGTTTCATTTTTTTTAAATTAACAGCAGTGTTTTTCTCTCTTTTTTAATACACACACTTGTATAATAAACCTAAGACATACTATGTCTCTAGTGCTCAGAGAGCACTGCAGGTATACACCTATGTTTGATTGTGCATGACATCCCATACTCCAGGGCTAGGATTTATCCCATTTCCAGTATGATTCAAGCACACAACATTAAAGTAGAAAGACTATGACTGGAAAAAGAGGTAGAGGGGAAGACAAAAGGTTCTTTTTTTGTTTTAGTCATCTTTGTACCAACAACACCAATACATTAATGCAGTAGGAGCATCAGAGAAAATTTAAGAAGAGAAAATTAAAACATAAGGTACCAGACCATAGAAGTTGTTCACTACAACAAAAACTGTTGTGAGCTGTTCCAGGTGTGTTCAGGACCGTCCTCTGACTTTTCTCTAGCTGTCACCTATGTTTGTGTTCACACATATGGTCAGTGGGCAAAGAGGTGGAACAGCTCTCAGTTCATTTGTCCTCTAAAACTGGGCAAGAAAAAGTTGGTTTTATCAGTCCTTGAGCCACTCTAGGACCAGATAATGTACTAAGCTCTGTAGCTGTGCTGAGTCTCCAACATTCTCTAGAACAATGCTTTTGTAGGAGCCTGGGACTCATAGGTGAGACCATACAATCTGATGCACATGGGGTGACCAGGAGCAGCCACAAAGCTCTGAGGTGTGGAGTCTTACCTCTGATGTTTGGCTGTCATTAACCCAGCAACACTAGAATATGACTTCTGGGGATCCCTCTGAGTGTACGAATGCCCCTATCACCCTCCTGACCCTCCCCAGCTCCCACTCTTGACTGGTACATGAGCAGCTCAACGTGGACTGGTCCTTAGTCACTTCACTTGGTAACTCAGATGCTTGTGGAGGAGGACAGGGCATTTTCACCTGTGCTATTTGCTCTGCTACTTCTGCAAGAGTACAGACAATCCTGCTGCAGCTGAATTGTCTGTTGAATTCCTGCTCTGGTACTAAGAGCATATAACATCGAGCAGGCCTTGTTGAAATCCTGCTGTCTCTGAGGGTCAGATCTCAAGCCTGGACCAAGTCCCAATCAGCTTCATTAAAAATAAACTGGTTCATTGAAGAGTGTGAACAAACAGGCTGGCAGCACAGACAATCTTGTCTGAAGTGCAAATTCAAACCTATGTTTGCAGGGATTCCATTCACCCTTCCATTCTAGGGCCTGTATGGACCATGAAGTCAAGAACTGTGGTATCACAGACTCAGGAGTCTAGGAGACAGGCCTACCTCACCCAATGAAAACCCTAATGTGACAAATCATGTCCTTCATATATTTGAGCCTATATTACCAGATAACCACACTGATACAACTAATGCCTGGAAACAAATATGGGAACCACAGTGCTGTTTCTAAACCTTCTGAAATTGTTTCTTAACAAACCCATTGCTCCAAGACACCCACACTAGAGAGGGTACAAACTTTCTGCCCTTTTCTTCCTCTACATGCACATATAAAACAATAGAGAGCCTGTCAGCTCCATCCCACTCATTACTGTTTGCTTGCTCTCTGTCACTGAATTATTCTTGCCAATGTACAACATAACACTGTGTGGGCTAATCAGGAAAGTAAAGGAAAAGTACTTCCACTCTAACAATGGATAAAGAGCGAAAGTGGATTGGACTATATTTTTCTGACTTAGTTTCCTTAATCACTTAGTTTTTGCTCCACAGAGGTGTTCTAATTTAAGCCACTACACAACAATTTCCACAAAATAAGGCATTTAAGTCCCTTAAGGAGAAACACTCCTTCCTTAAATGCAATCTGTCTTGTAGTTCACTTCATGATGACACGTAGGTATTAAAAACTGAAAACTTAAGCAAACCCAGACTTTTAATTCAGAGAGAAAAATCAATACAGCTCTCCAGGGACAGCCCTTTAGAAATCAAAATTCATTCCTCTGTTGCACTGATTCAGCACGCACCATCTTGGCAGACCAAAGCTTGTGATATTTTCACAGTGTGCCTATTACTTTTTTACATAGAGTTCTCCAAACGGTTTTGAATTAAATTCTGGGGTAATCTTTTGCAAATTAAATGCAGCCTATAGAGCTGCAAGAGCAAATAGAAGAACCTTTTGTAGACAGCAGTCCTCACTTAATGCTTCCTCCAAAAGGCTACAACAACCCATGTCCTTGGCACCACTTTCCTGTCACACACCGACGCTGCAAAATGTGGAATATGTCAAGATTATTTTAAGTCAGGATGGTCTTTGATGCAAGCCTTATCAGCAAGTAAGGAGACCTAATCAGTGGAAGAGGCAGCAGCTAGCGTCCCTTCGTCAAGGACAACCGGGAACTAACAAGCTTAAAGGATATAGTAAATCAAGATGTCAATGTATATCTATGTATATACATTGTTAACTTGGCAAAATACTCAAGGTTCATATATCCTGCAGGTGAACTATTGCAGAATCACAGAATATGCTGAGTTAGAAAGGACCCACAAGGATTATCGAGTCCAACTCTTAGCCCTGCACAGGACCATCCCCAAGAGTCACACCATGAGCCTGAGAGTATCATCCAAACGCTTCTTGAGCTCTGTCAGGCTTGGTGCTGTGGCCACTTCCCTGGGAAGCCTGTTCCAGTGACCAACCACCCTCTGGGTAAAGAACCTTTTTCTAATACTCAACCTTAACTAAACCTCCACTATCACAACTTCAGGCCATTCCTCAGGTCCTGTCACTGGTCACCACAGAGCAGAGATCAATGCCTGCCCCTCCTCTTCTCCTCACAAGGAAGTTGTAGACTGCAATGAGGCCTCCCCTCAGTCTTCTCTTCTCCAAGCTGAACAGACCAAGTGACCTCAGCCACACCTCATACAGTTTCCTCTCAAGGCCCTTCACCATCTTTGTTGCCCTCCTTTGGATGCTTTCTAAGAGCTTAATATCTTTCTTATATTGTGGTGCCCAAAACTGCACACAATATTCAAGGTGAGGCCGCCCCAGTGCAGAGCAGAGCAGGACAATCCCCTCCCCTGACCAGCTGGCGATGTTTTGCCTGATGCCCCCCAGGACATGGTTGGCCCCCCTGGCTGCCAGGGCACTGCTGACTCATATTCAACTTGCCAGTGACCAGGACCCCCAGGCCTCTTTCCATTGCACTGCTTTCTAGCATCTCATGCCCCAGTCTGTATGTACATCCAGGGTTGCCCAACCCCAGGTGCAGAATCCACCATTTTCCCGTGTTGAACTTCATATGGTTGATGATTGCCCAGTCCTCTAATTTGTCAAGGTCTCTCTGCAGGGCCTCCCTGCCTTTGAGGGAGTCCCAGTTTTGTGTCATCTGCAAACTTGCTTAGTATCCCTTCCAGTTACGCATCCAAGTCATTTATGAAGATGTGGAAGAACACAGAACCTAAGATGAACTCCTGCAGAACCCCACCATATTATAATACTAAAAATCATGCCTACAGGTCAAAAAGATTCCTGCCCAGGTAAAGACCCTTCCCCTGAGCATGCGTAGAAGCTAACTGAAGAAGCTAATTTCCATAGCTTGTATGGAAATTACTAATTAATCATAATAGAGGGGCAGTGCTTGGAAAGTTACTAACTCTGAACTTCTGTGTATAAATAATGGCACAAAAAGTATGGAGAGGTGTGCTTGATTTGTGGAATACCACCAAGCACCCAGGCTTGTGCAACTCTGAAATAAATATCAACTCTCTGTCTCTCGAGTGTACAGTTTTTGGCTTATTGCACATCAGGTAATAAATCCAATTTTGTGGACAACACCAAGGAGGAAAGGAGAAAAGGACCTTAGGATTCCTTTTCCTTTCACCAGCAGAAAAGGACCTGGGGATGCTGGTCAACAGCTGGTCAAGCATGAGCCAGCAGTGTGCCCAGGGGGACAAGAAGGCCAATGGCATCCAACGGCATGTATTAGAAATAGTGTGGCCAGCAGGACTGCAGCAATAATCAGCCCTCTGTACTCGGCGCTGGTGAGGCCACACCTCGAGTATTGTGTCCAGTTTTGGGCCCCTCAATTCAGGAAGGACACTGAGGTGTTGGAGCATCTCCAGAGAAGGGCAATGAAGTTTGTGATGGGTCTAGAGAGTAAGTCTTATGAGAAGGACTCCCTCTAGCTGAGGGAGCTGGGGTTGTTCAGCCTGGAGGCTCTCTACAACTACCGGAAAGGAGGTTGTAGCCAGGTGGGAATGGGCCTCTTCTCCCAGGCAACCAACGACAGGATGAGAGAGGAAATAGCCTCAAGCTGCACCAGCGGAAGGTCAGGCTGGACATTGGGAGGAGTTTCTTCAAAAAAAGTGCGATAAGACATTGGAATGGGCTGCCCGCGGTGGTGGAGTCACTGTCCCTGAAGGTGCTTAAAAACTGGACGAGGCACTTAAAGCCATGGTCCAGGTGACAAGGCGCTGTTCGGTCACAGGTTAGACTCGATGATCTCAGACGTCTTTTCTAACCTAATTGACTGTTATTCTGAGGTAAAAACACCAGTTGATCTTCACGAACTCCGACCTCAGCAAGCCCAGAAAAATCAAGGCGTAAAGCAGAAATTTTATTCACGCTTTCCCCAGGCACAATGCAGTGCACATAACAGTGCCCAAACGCCTCCTTTCCCCCGGCACCCGCGGAGAGAGCAGGACTCACCCGGCTCTGCCCCGCCCCAAAGGCTGAGGCCTCAGCCCGCGGTGCCCGCCCCGCCGGCTCCGGCGGATATGAGCTCAGGCCGCGCCCTCCGGAAAGAGCGGGGGCGGGTGTTTCCGCGGCGGCGGCGATGGCGGGAAGGCGGTAGCGGCCGAGCCCCTGGGGCGGACCGGCGGAGGAGGCGGCCTGGGCGAGGACGCTGCGGCGGGGCCTGCGAGCCCGAGCACCACTGGCGGTACCGCCGGGAGTTTCTGCTGCGCAACGTGGGCGAGCCGCCGGCGGCGGGCAGCGCTCAGCTGCAGCGCCTGGTGTCCCTCTCCATGGTGTGGGCCAACCACGTCTTCCTGGGATGCCGGTGAGTTCTGCGGGACCCGCCGGGGCGGCGGGGGCGGCGCGGCGCGGCCGCCTGACGACGCCCCTTCCCTCTTTTCCCCTTATCGCCCCTCCAGGTACCCTCCGCAGGTCATGGAGAAGGCGCTGGAAATGGCTGAAGGCATCCAAGTGACCGGCGCGCCTGTCCGCACCACGAGAGACGAACTGGTTGCCAAGGTGAAGAAAAGAGGCATATCAAGTAGCAATGGTTAGCAGATCATAGCTGTGACAATACATAGGAGTCTAGAAAATGCTTGTTTCTAAATGTTCTCGGCTTGCCTCGGGCTTAGAAAGTAATCAAAATAATTTACCTTAAACACTCCTGGGTTTTGTTTTCTCTCTCTGTGCTATTTTTTTCCCAATATAGTATCTCTAAAATGGATGTAGTGCACACGTACTCCTTTGGTAATGTAGAGCTGTCGTTTTGCACTTCTACAACTGGTTCACTTTTAAGCTGATTACTTGTGCGTTGCAATGGACTGCTGTACTCCAGCTTAAATGCGTTCTTGTTGCTTTGCCTTTGCTGCTAGTCAGACACCGCTGCTGTGTAAGAAACTGAGTTTCTTAAAGAAACTTTTATGATATTAGTAGACAAATACACATTTTTTTTTTTTTAGGTCAGATAGTCCATTTAATGTATGTTAGTTACTTTCGGTTTGGACTTCAAGAATAGAAATATGTCGCTGCCTATGGGTCCCAAACCAACATCTGAAATCTTACACCTGAGTATTTTCAGGTTTTTGTCAAGAAAGTACTAAAATGTTCTGAAATAGTATGTTAATACTTGAAATTACAGTTCAAGGTGTATTCCTAATATATACCTTTTAAATTCACAGAAATTATTGCTAGAATGTTTTAGATGATTTCTCTCTACATGGATATTTCATAGTTCAGAAATCAAAGAAGATAACATATTTTACTTGTTTTGCAGAAGGGCTAGAGCAGCCCTCCAAGAGACAAGCTGTTGAGAAAAGCAAAGACTCTAAGGATGCTGGAAAAGATGTGAAAACAATCAAGGCAGAAGCCCTGAAGGAAACAGAGAGCACATTGCCAAAAAAGCAGGAAAAAGGTACTAGCAAAGATCCAGAAAGTTCCCAGTCAACTTGCAGCTCAGATCAAGAAATGGTCGTAGCATCAGACATAGAAGCAGAAGGAAAACTTGCTAATGCTGAAAATACTGCTGAGCAAAAGTCATCCTCATCTGAAAAAGAACCAGGAAAGAAGCCTTGCTCAAGCCCATCTGAAGAAAGCAAGTGTGAAAACGTGCCATCACCTGAAAAGAAAACTACAGTAAGTGTAGCGCCGCTGGCTGCCAAAAGCGCCCTGCAGCCAGAGGCAGTGGTGGCAGCAGTGCCACCAGCTGCCAAGAGCACCCCGCAGGCAGCAGTGGTGGCAGTGGCAGTGCCATCAACCTCCAAGAGCACCCCACAGGCAGCAGCAGTACCACTGATTGCCAAGGGCACCCCACAGGCTGCAGCGGTGGCAGCAGCAGTGCCACCAACCACCAAGAACACCCCACAGGTAGCAGTGGTGGCAGCAGCAGTGCCACCAGCTTCTAAGAGTACCCCACAGGCAGCAGTGGTGGCAGCAACAGTGCCACCAGCTTCCAAAAGCACCCCACAGGCAGCAGTGGTGGCAGCAGCCATGCCACTGACCACCAAGAGCACCCCACAGGTGGCAGCAGTGCCACCAACCACCAAAAGCACCCCCTCCACAAATGCTGCACTGCTGTCTTCCAAAAACCAAGCGAGTACCCCAGCAGCAGTGTCCAAGAGTGCTGCTCAAGTGGGCAGTTCACTGCTTCTGGCCCCCAAGAGCGGCACTCAGGTGGGCACCTCGCTGCTGCTGTCCCCCAAGGGCCCTGCTAAGGTGGGCTCCTCGCTTCTGGCCTCCAAGAGCAGTGCCGAGGTGGCCGCCTCGTTGCTGGCCGCTCGGAGTGGCACGCAGCCGGGATCCTCACTGCTCGCTTCCAAGAGCAGTGCTCAGGTGGCTGCCTCGCTGCTGGCTGCCCGGAGTGGAGCTCAGCAAGGTCCCTCCTCCCGGGGTGGAGCTCAGGCAGGTGCTTCCCTGCTGGCTTCCAAGAGTGGCTCACAGGCAGGTGAAAGCCCTGCTAAGGCTTTGTGCAAACCATTAACCAGTGAAGATGCAAAGGAAAGACAGCCTTTTTTTAACAGACTCTACAAAGCTGTAGCCTGGAAACTGGTTGCTGTTGGAGGCTTCAGTCCTAATGTAAATCATGCAGAACTTCTAAACTCATCTATTCAGTCCGTAAAAGCTACATTAGATGTTGCTTTTGTTCCCCTGAAGGAACTTGCAGACCTGCCTCAAAATAAAAGCTCTCTAGAAAATATAGTTTGTGAACTGAGGTGCAAGTCTGTCTACTTGGGTACTGGCTGTGGTAAAAGTATGGAAAATGCCAAAGCAGTGGCTTCGAGAGAAGCTTTGAAATTATTCCTCAAGAAAAAAGTTATTGTGAAGATATGTAAAAGAAAATACAAAGGTAGTGAAATTGAAGATTTGGTGCTTCTGGATGAAGAGTCAAAGCCTTCAAATTTGCCTCCAGCTTTAAGAAATCCTCGTGAGATCTTGTAGGGGAGAATCACTGTTTCTACTGTGTATAGTATTTCAATACAAGGACTGAAGGTTAATTTTGTACTTTAAAAAAGTAGGCTTCCAGATATTTTGTATTTCTTTCTCAGTTTTGCAAGACAATGATAGTTCTTTCACTCAGTAGCAATTGTATAAAACTTGTTAGAGATGACAAGTGTGCATTTAAAGGTATTGCCTTAATATACAGCACACTAGTGTGCTGTTGTATTTGCAAAATAGTCTACCTAACTCTTCTATTTTTAATTAAAGTATTAAGGTACAATTTGCTGTAAAACCTGACATTTTTGTAATTCTTACAATTTGATGGCAGTGTGCTCAATTGTCTACCATGTCTTTTCTAGCCACATAGAAGTGTGTACGTAGGGACCATAATACTTGAATGATTGAAGGTTATTTAAAAATTTCAATCAAAAAGTTGGATTGTCTGTTTCAGGCTTGTTCCTCATAATGTTCACTGTTGATCATACTAGGAGAGAAAGTAGTTGGTTGACTATTTTTATGGGATGTTTTCATAACACTTGCAATATAAGTGACACCCTGATCCCATTTAACATTATACTAGCAGGTTAGAGCCATAGCATCACACTGGTGACTTAGCAATTAGTCAAGTCACAGCTATTTCAGCCACCAAAACTAAGCAGATATAATTTATATTGTGAAGTATCATTTACAGTTCTGGGTTTTTTTTTTCAAATAAACATGGATTTCTACACTAAGTATATTTTGACTGGTACTCAAAACAATAAAACCTCTGGGATAAACTTTTATAGTGCTTTGGTTTTGGCTACTAAATATTCCAGCCATTTCAATAACTTTGCAACACCTTCAGAAAAGCTTTACTTCTGCTTCAAGGTGTAATCCCACAAGGATGTTGGTTTCTTTAGATGTGAAATACTGTAAAACTGATAGAGTGGACCTATAGAATATCAATTTCTACTTTTGTAACACCAAGATAATCAAAATGAAGATGCTGCTGTCTGCTGGAGACAGTGAGTGTATTGTAAAGCGTTCATGCTAATTGAGCCCTTCCTTTGCTACATTTTTATACCCTGTACAGAATGATTTGAAGCAAGGAAAGTAGATTACCTTTTGTTTTCAATGTTACTGAAATACCTGCACAAACTGCATGTTTTGGTATATTGGATAATGACATGTAATTGTAAAAACATAATGTCCTCAGTGCTATTTTGAATTAATCTTGTCTGATTACAGTAGTTAGCATCATTTAGTGGCGACCTTATGCTTCACTGACAGATCCATTGATCAAGTACTACAGGAGTGAATAGGAAGTTCTGGGATCCCAGCAGTACATACGTCCACTTCAAGTTCTTTTGTGATTTTTTGGGACTAAACCACAGTTGTGTTGTTGCGCTCTACCCTACATGATTTTAAACAGCAGTGGCTGTCCATGGCACCAGAAGCCTGCAAGGGACTCATGCTTCCCAATGGCTGGTTGAGAACTTCCTCCACCTGACCCCTGTGCTTCTGTGTCCTCGGTCACCCTTTGCCCTGGTTAGGTTTCTCAGGAGTTCCCCCTCGGTATTCCTGGAGCACAACCTGATGTTCAGAATGGAATGCTCTAAATTGCATCTTAGCACAACAGCTGGTACATGCTTAAAGCTCAGGGCAAGCTTCGTGCTTTGCTTAGGAGCTGTGGTATTCATGATGGGAAGTGTGAGATCTATTTTCAAGTCCCCACCCTGTTCAGGTAGAGATACAGAATGACGGGGTTTGCAGGGCAGGAGTTGCATCCTGTGCCCTCTGGAGTACAGCTTTTGCTGCTGTTGGTTTGGGCATCTCCAGATCTCTGGTTCAGAATTGCAGCGTGTTGCAGTGTGAAAACCCGTGTTTCTCGTCTGGAAAGCAAAGCTCACAGTATTGACTGACCTCAAGGGGCTGATAGGGCAACTGTGTTAAAAGGCTGAGGTGCTAGATGCCATTTTTTTAAAGACCTGACTTAGGCTTACTTTTTAAAAAATTTTGAATGTTATTCCTCTTTGATGTTTGGTTGTGAATCATTAAAGAATGAGTCTGTAGCTACTCTTAATAGAAACTGAAAGTTGAAGTGTGTTACTTTTATTTCACATTTTGCATGGAAAGCAACTCAAAATGCACATTCTAACATACAACTGAATAAGCATTATTCGAGTATTTGAATGAGAATTTATTAACATTTCATTAAGCCCAAAGGAAGAAAGAAAGAATTTCAAAGAACTGGCTGTGGCAAGCAGTGTTTGTGCAGTCCTGTCAGTTCTAAAACCTTTCGGTTTCCCCTCCAGGTACTGTCCTGGTCTCTAGGAATGGGGATGCTGGTCTTTAACTGTCAGACCCTGCTGACAAGGACCGGCGAAAACAATTGCACTAACACTGTAGGTGTGCAGAGTTGCCTCAGGAGGACAAAGGAAACGAACCAACCGAAAGAAAAACTGAGCCTGTTTTGTCAGCAGAAGTACAGGAAATCGCAGCCGTCAGAAGTGACTCCCGTTTCTTCTGGAGTGTGGTAGAACATCCAAGTACTGCCGCTGGCTCCTTGTGGACAGCCGCCCCGCCGGTTGCTGTTCCCAGTCTCCAA